GGAGAGGAAGCTGTGGGTAAAAGAGAATGAGGTGACAAGTCTGTCTTGTGAGGCGTCGGGACATCCTCGGCCCACCATCTCCTGGAATGTCAATGGCACGGTGAGTAGGCACATGCCATCCTCCCATGTGCTCACACTGTCTAATCTCTGCTCACCCTCAGGCCTGTCTGGAGATCCTTCCGCCCCTGAGCTGTGCCTCCTCCTTCCTGGCAGGCACATGAGCAAGACAAAGATCCGCAGAGCGTCCTGAGCACCTTGAATGTCCTTGTGACCCCAGAGCTGTTGGAGACAGGTGCTGAGTGTGTGGCCTCCAACTTCCTGGGAAGAAACACCACCTTTATTTTCCTGAAGCTGGGTAAGGGCCTCTTCCCTGGAGAGTCTGGCAGGGGCATGCCCAAGCGTGGGCCTTAACTTGTGCTTATCCTAACCCACCTCCCTCTGCCTCCCAGTCAACCTAACTACCCTCCCACCTGACTCTACCACCACCACCACTGGTCTCAGCACTTCCACTCACCTCAGCAGCTCCACTGCCAGTCCCCATGCCAGAGCCAACAGTACCTCCACAGGTAAGCCAGGCCTGGCAAGAGGACCGGGTTGGCCAGGGCAGCCTCCTTCTGCCCTGCCCCTCCCCAGGGAGCCCTGTCGAGAACTGTGAGTGGTCTTCCATCAGCCCTGGGCTGGGTGGGGCAGTGATGGAAATGTGGCAGCCTCTGGCAGCAAGTGACCAGGAGTGTCTTTGTGGGACAGAGAAAAAGCTGCCAGAGCCTGAAAGCAAGGGTGTGGTCATCGTGGCTGTGATCGTGTGCATCCTGGTGCTGGCTCTGCTGGGCGCTGTCCTCTATTTCTTCTACAAGAAGGGCAAGCTGCCTTGTGGGCGATCAGGCAAACAAGAGATGTAAGCCCAATACTTAGCACCCTCACCCCCCGCCCATCTCATGCTGCCCAGCTTGCTGCTTGCCCCAGTGCCCCCTCACCCCTCAGGAAAAGGAGTGGGGCCCTGGGTCTGGGTGCTACCCACCCCACCATCCACTGCCTAGCTGCCATCAACCACAGCTTCTCCCTTCCATGACCTGGTTCCCTCCGAGGTGGGACCTGGTTCCCTCCGAGCTGGCCCCAGAACACCAAACAGCCCATTAGTCCAGTCCAGCATCCTTTCCAGTGGCCTTTGCCCCCCAAGTTGCCAACCTCTCGCCTCCCTCCCTCCTCCCAGCACGCTGCCCCCGTCGCATAAGAGTGAAATTGTAGGTGAAGTTAAGTCAGATAAGCTCCCCGAAGAGATGGGCCTCCTACAGGGCAGCAACGGTGACAAGAGGGCTCCCGGAGACCAGGTAGGAGGCAGTTCCTGTGGCCAGGGATTGGGGGCAACAAGGACTAATGGTTCCCATTCCCCCAACACTAACTTTCTATCCTCCCTCCTCCTCTGTTGGAGTTAGGAGCAGGCCCAGCTGGCCTCCTTACCACTACCCACAGGTGGCAGGGGGAGGCAAGTGTGCGAGGGACCCTGGAGAGAGGGTAGCTCTCAAGGCTGAGCAAGGACTCTGTCTCATCACCATCACCTTTTCCTGAGCAGTATGCGTGGCTCAGGTCACTAGCTGTGAAGTGTGGCCTCAATTTACCAGTGGAGAGTCAGATTTGGGGGCCTGGTCGCTCCGTCCCTGCCCTACCATACCCACTCCTTGCTTCTCCCCTCAAGCCTGCTGTACCTAGTTCATCAGCTCTTGCTTCAGTCCCTCCTCCTTTTCAGTGCTCACACCTTGAATTCTGGTCACTATGTCCAGGATCCCCTCTTGTCTCCACCCATTTTTAGGGAGAGAAATACATCGATCTGAGGCATTAGCCCACATAATCGCACTGAGCTCCCCACCCTGCCTGGAACAGCCCCTGCTCACCCTGCTCCCTGCACTCAGGATGGTAACTAACGCCTCTCAAGTGGACTGCAGAGAAGGACCCCTGCTCCTGCTCACCTGCAGACCTCATCTTAGAGGTGAAATGGGCTAGGACCACAGCCATCCTGAGAAGGAGCTCACTGGGCCCTGAGGCCCCTCTCTGGGATCAATCCACCACAGCTTCAATTTGTTGAGTGAAGCTCATCCCAAGGAGGGGACCTCAGGATCCAGGAGTGGGCAGGAGTTTCGCACAGAATGTGTTTTCTCATTACACGTTATAGATGTAAGTACCTGTCTTCTACCAGCAGCTGAATTGGGTAGCTTACCTATCTGTGCTGGTTCCCTGCCCCAAAGGCTGGCTTCAGTAATTCCGCTGAATCACTGAAGAGGCTGCACTTGTCCCTGAGACCTAGAGCCTAGGCCCCTATTTACTGTTGAACTGTGTTGCTCACATGACTCAGGAGAGTACCCCAGCAATATCTAGAAGCAGCTGAAATGTTGCTGTTGCCACCTTCCTGCCTGCTTCCATGGGGTCCCTTTTTTGGTCCTCCTTTCCCTGGGCCAAAGCCACAAACTGCTGTCATTCCTTAAAAGACATGCCGGGTATGTCCCATTTCCCTGTGGTGGTCAAGTTTTCCGGAGTTAAGGCAATTGTGCCTAAGCCCCCTGCACTCCTTTGGCGTCCACTGCCCTCTCAAAGAATTATGTAAGTCTCTGAAAGGTGGGGAGTGGGGGACAAAGATGCAGTCCAGACTATGCTTTATGAAGAGTAAAGCTACAGTTACATTTGCACCACATTTCCACAAACTGAACTAATGGGCCCAGACCTTAAAAGGGCCCAGATGGGAGAATGGTACTTAGGGATGAATAACGGGGGCCTGACCAGAGCTTGGGGTGTGTGTGTGGGTGTGGGTGTGTGTGTGTACACGTATGTGTGTGTGTATGTATGTGTATATATATATATGGTTTTGTTAGGTGTAAATTTGCAAACTATTTCCTTTTTATATATATATGAAAAATAAAGCTTAATTGTCTGTCCCAGAAACCTTGACATTGTCTCTTTTCCAATTTTTTAAAATTGTGGTAAAACATTTGCCGATTCAACAATTTTTACATACGCGATTCAGTGACATGGACTACTTTCATCATGTTGTGCGGCCATCACCATTCCAAATGATTCCACCATTAACAGAAACCCTGCCCCCGAAGCAGCGAGCTCTCCCCACCCCTGGTAAACTAGTAAACTTTGGTCTCTGTATATCTGCCTATTTCATATAAGTGGGATCATACAATATTTATCCATTTGTGACTGGCTTATTTCACTCAACATGTTTCCACGGTTCATCCATGTACTATGTACCATGTCTTCATTTTTCTTTCTGGCTTGGTAACCTTCCATTGTATCTGTGCAATGCGTTTTGTTTATCCATTCATCTGCGATGGACATTCCGGTTGTTTCCACCTTCTGGCTGCTGTGAATAGTGCTGCAGTGAATACTGGTGTAAAGGTTTCTGCTTTCAGTTCTTTTGGGTATACACCTAGGATTGGGACTGGTCATACTGCTTTTATTCATGGGTACCACAGGAACCTGAGGGCCTCCAAAATTGGAACTGCATTAAAAGGAACATACAACTCTCTGCAATTGGCAGCAGGGACCAGTGGTGACCTCTACTTCTGAGCAAATCATTCCAGGTTTACCACAGGGGACAACTGCCCCGCTCTCAGCAGCAAAACCACCCTGCACCAGGCAGTTTGCAGGGCCTGATTGACTGTTGGCCAAGGGACAGCACCCCTTTTCTACGCTTTCCTATCATGTAGAATTGCCCTCGAGGCAGTGGAACACGCTCCTTGGGGTGAAGAAATGGGTCTAGGCATTTGGCCCTCTCACTGCCTAATGTATCATTCCCCTCCCCCCCACCCCGGCCCCACAGCCACAATGAGTGCTAACAGCAAGTCAGCTACAACAAAAGAAACTTTATTTAAAAATATTTTTTTACAGACATGGGTGCCTGAAAAAGCTCTTTAGTTAACTGTGTATGGAAATGAAAAATAAATAACATTAGTTTAACAGACCTCTAAACATTAATACATTGGCAAAACAAAATGGACTTAAATGAAAATGAATCTTAAAGCTCTGCTATTCTCTGTAAGAATATTTACCTTCTGTTTTTCTTATTCTTTACAGGTGAGAATGATTAAATACTGCTAATATAATTTTTTTATATTAATGACACACCTTTAAAATAGTCCACGAAAAGTTCATCTAAGATTTTGTTTTTAACACTGATATACAAATTGGGACTCCTCACCCTAGAGAAAGCATCAAGTTCTCTCCAGCCCCACCCATGCCAAGAATTTCAAAATCCTGAATAAGGATGACTTTAAAAAATAATTGTTTCTATCTCCCAATTCTTCATTAGTTGAGGGCAGGGAAGAACTGAGAAAAGGGTAAGAGATAAGTAAAGTCATTATATAGAAAGCTTTTTTCTTTCCTTTTTTTTTTTTTTTGCTGAAACATCTACTATGGGCCACAATACTGAGGACAGGCATCTGGTTCTTGTTCCCTGCTGCCCTTCCCTGGGGAAAACTAGACCCTGCCGAGGGCACTAGCTGCTTAATGCTTTAAGTTTGAAGCCTTCAAATGAAAAGAAAGCCTAATCTGAAGGGAGAGGCAGGAGGTCTAGGCCAGTCAAAAAGACCCCAAAAAAACCCCACAACCCTCAAGAGAGTTCATTCTATAGTTTTCCATGAAGTTTGGGTCATTAATATGATCAGGAGGCTGGGGAACTTCGAATGGTACGGAGTATACCTGGAAATCATGGAAAAGTCTGTCTGCCAGAGACAAACCATTCAACCTGATAACCAAGAGTCTGATTAGAACCAACCAAGTGACCCCAGGGTACAATGCTGCTTTCTTCCAACTAAGCATGGGGGGGGGGGGGCACTGACTAACTGCATCGGAGACCATCTCCAGCCACAGCAAGCACTCATTCCTCCCCCTAAGACTCTAGGGACTAATGATACTCAAGGTAGAGGAACTAAGACTCTGATATTTCCATATTAAGTCCTAAAATGCAGCCTGGGATACAGGGCTGCCTTAGAAAGGCACAAAACGTTTGGCTTTTTTTTTTTTTTCCAGTGTGCTAAAAATTATTTTGTTTTGAATAAAGGGAAAAGATATATAAGGTTAAAAATCCCAAGTCACCACAGCCAGAAAGCAGATGGAGGAGGTACCTCATAGCTGCCATGCCCCTACCACATGCTTCAGCAGGAGGTTGGGCTTCTCCTTCCAGGCCAAGACACTAAAACAATGTGAAGAAGGGTAGGTTAGGAGGCATCGAGCCTGCAGGCTTCGTCACCCGGACAGCAGAGGACAGCAGAAGAAAGAGGCGCGCAAGAGAAAACACACATTCTACAGGCTCCTAAGTCGTTCTCTGCTTCTTCAATTTCAAGACCACCATAAGCATGGCTACCCTAACCCATAACAGGGTCAGGAAGAGGGAACTGACACACAAGGTACGAGAACACGTATGTGGGTACCAGACCTGGGCACAGCTCCCCCACTCAGGCCTGAGCATGGAGTCAGCGCAAGGCCTGAAGAGTCGCACATGGCCTGTCTTGAGCAATATTCCTCTCTAGTCTCACGATCTGTTTCAGGGGTGGAAGGAGAACTTGTGAGAGGCAAGTAGAGCTCTGCTGACTTCTATAGCTGCCAAATCAGCAGGATTTGAGGTTAGCTTCCAGCCTTTGCTCTGCACAAATATACGGGGTGGTTAGCCACATTTTTCTCAAGCACTATACAAGGGGAGGGGCAGCAAGACCTCCAAACAGCTGTTGACCAACAGCTGGCCCTTCAGCGTGGTGCTTTCCATCTGGCTATGAACGAGCCTCTCCATGCGGGTCTTGCTCTCCCCAGCCCTCTTTCCCCATCTCTTACTTTTGTGCTACTTTCTGGAGCCAAGAAACACTGGACTTCCCCTTGCAACCAACCCAGATTTCCCAAGACACTGTGAAGGCACACGACACTGCCGTCCCTTGGCTCCTTCATTTTGGAGCCTAGGCTAGACTATCAAATGCAAAGTCCGAAGACCCACCCTTTCTCATGTGCCTCAATGTATATCTTTGGATTATTAGGTTACTTCTATGTATATCAAATGACTTTTAGTACTTACAAAGTTATAAATAATTATGAAATCCCTTGCTAACTCAGGACAGGCTCTAGGATGAGATAAATAAGATCAAAAGACTCAGGTAAGCAGAAGCATGGTTTTTTTAAAAAAAGATAAAGGCTTTAATATAGGACTAAAAAGACAAAGACACTCGGACAGGGAAAACACAGGTATCCTGTCTAGAGTTCTCAGTAAAAACTCTATTCTAAACTGGGATTTATATCCTGCCAACTGTCCCAACTAATATATACTCTTACTGGCAAAGTAGTTTCTGAGGTACCTAGGAAGGCCTGCCTAAGAAGATTCCTGTAGAGCTCACCTCGTGTAGGACAAATGAAAGGGCAGGGAGGAGGGAAGGGAGTGTCTACAGTGCCCAGAGAATAAATATATTTTCAGTGCTAAGGCCTGAAGGTAGCCCAGAAGTCCATGGATAGTGGCTACAGTGGAATTTGTGATCTGCTCTCCAAATAATAAGGCTAAAAACCTGAGATTGAATGAAGGCTGAGAAATGACACCCAAGAACAGACCACTGTGTAAGAGGAGGAAGTCCTAAAGAGGGAGGAAAGAAATCTTAGATGTCAACATTGATCAAGGGAAGAAAGAGGGAGAAAAAAAAGACAATGACCAGAAGTTAAGAATTTCTTCGAAGTCCCAGACTCTCAAAAAAGCAGTATAACAGCAAGTTTACTGTTAAGAGTAGAAGTATTTTTAGGGTATCTATTCAGTGTATGGAGGCCTGGTGGTGCAGTGGTTAAGAGCTCTGCTGCTAACTAAAAGGTCGGCAGCTTGCATCCACCAGCCGCTCCTTGGAAACTCAGTGTGGCACTTCTACTCTGTCCTATAGGGTCACTATGAGTCAGAATCGACTTCACGGCAACGGGTTTGGTTTTTTGGTATTCAGTGTATGCCTGCTTCTCTGAAAATGACCTCTCACCCCCCACAACATCCCCCACCCCCACAAGGAGTATGCCGCTATTGCCTAACAGTGGTACTATTCCTCCTTGGCAAGGCTGACTGCTTAGGGGTAGACACCTGATCAATGTGCTGGGATGGTTGTATGCTTAACTGGTGATTCCAATGTTAATGGTGTTCCCTAGAACTGGAAGGTCGTGTGGACTTGAGGGTGCCTATTTCGGGGCCATGCATGCTGATAAAAAGGCTGAGAAGCAGAATGGACCAAGTGCAAAGTTTTACAATTCTAGCTCCATAAAAGAATCAACTGTACTTCCTGTCCTGGGTTTTGCGAAATCCCCTGCATCCTTACAATAAGTACCTCCTTTCTTTAGCTTGAGTATTTCTGTTTCTTGCGTCCAAAGGATCCCTAACCAGGACAGGCAAAGATACAACCTCCACCTTCTTCCACTTTCTACTGAGAGGAACCATCCACCCTCCTCCATGCATTAAATGGCTATATGCATTTCTAAAGGAAGACTGCTAATGTAGACTGAGATCAAGATAGTGATGATAACGCTTTAAGTTGAGTTAGAATACTTTAGATTGAGTTTCTAAAGCCTTAAGGTCTAGTAGAAGCATGCTGTGTTGACTTTGATACTAAGCTCTAGGGTCTCTAAGCTCTCTATCCTGCCAGGTAAAGGCTGATATTTTTTAAGAACTGACTGAATTAAATCTATTTTACTGTCTGGCTCTTGGGAAAGCAAACAATGGTTGAAAATCAGGACCCACAGACAGGCGCCAACCCTCCCCAGTACCTTCAGCCCTTCTAAGACACAGAATTAGCTGCAAAGGTTGTTGCAAAGGATTGGAAATAAGTTCCAAATAGTATGGGAGATGGTGGTAGGTCCCAAAATAGTGATAAGGAAACCTTCTCAACAAGGAGAATTAGGGAAACAAGCAGCTCACTAAAAAGATCAAGGAAGGCACTGGATTGGGAAGGGGACTGTGAACAGATGCTCTGCTTAAATTAAACATTTAAATGCCCTATTGTACAACCCCGAGCCAACATAATCCTCAATCTCCAGTCCCACTGGCTCACCGAATAGACTCCACCGAAATACATAAAAATGTCAGGCACCCATGAGACCTACACAAAGGAATCTCCCAGATGTTAATCAAAGCTATAGGATTAACGGGAGAGTCTTAGACTGATTTTACCAGGACGGCTCTATAAAGAAAGATCTGTCTATATAAAATAGCTATGAGTAAAAATTGCACAATCTTATTGGGAAGAGCTATTTTAGGGCCAAATGTAAGTGCCAGACAGCCCAAGTACAATCCTCCAATATCAGTAAACCACCAGGTGGTGGCAGGGAAGAACATACAGCTGACACTTTGGCATATAAACACCCATAAATGTTTGCCAAATGAACAAACAAACTGTTACAGCCAGGCCAGTGGTCAGAATGCTGTTATTCACCGGACAGTGTGGTCATTCCAGAGTCAGAAAGGCCCACGGCAAGAAGGACTTAAAGCTTGGGAAAAAGCTCTATAACCTGACTTTCATGATGTGAGGTAGGAGAATATTCTGTGTCAACACCTACAAAAAGGACTACATCTTATTAATGGTGCCTTAAATAGAATACATAGTCCCTAGTTTGCAAGCAAGTTGTGGTAAAAAATTCATTTGTAAGTTTGCTGTTTGGACCGTAAAACATATTTTACTTTTCTATAGAGGAAATAAATATTTTAAGTATGAAGAATATTCCCCAACCCCACCCCTCATCCCAAGAACCCAGTTTAATCCAAAAAACAACAAAATGATCCTAACAGAACGAACCCTGGGCCCTGGTAATGAGAGTCTGTATGATAAAAAGATAAAACGAATAGAAGAATGGCCAAAGATGTAAAGTAGGGTTGGGGAGAGAGAGGGTGCTGGAGGAAAAGAATGGTATCCACAGGTATGGATCACTATTTACATAAATACTAACAGATCCCTGCTGAGATGATAAACTGCCCAATTTATTATTTAACTAAGGGGAGGTATATCATAGAACCCACAGGTTTTTTCCCCACTTTTTAGACCTCTACTTTCATGGAAGTATGGGAGGGACAGCTGGAGAAAGTCCAGCCCTGATGGCTGATTAAGTACTGCAAAGCAGCCTGGGGAGCTGACCCAGCAATGAGGCAGACGATGTCAAGCAATCCAGGGAAGACATAAGGAAGTAGGAAAGAGTTGAATAAAACAGTCCAATGCACTGAGAAAAAGGAAAACATCAAAGTGGTTTTTTACCTTATCAACCTGATAGTTAACAGAGGAGGAGCCCTTTGTAATTAGGGAAAGGGGATGGGTTTGCAAAAAATGGCAAAACTCAAAGATAAAGCCTGTTTATGAAAGGGTCATTTTGGTCAAATTCATAGTAGAACCAAAGGATTAAAAATTGCCATACAAATGGAGGATGAAGAACAGGTGCCTCAGACAAAGGAAAATATAAGAAATTAAAGTTTTGGAAATACCCTTAAGACAAGAACCATGTGAAAATTTTCCTATGGCTTGCCTGGAAATCTCAGACATGGACTCAGGCAGGTCCTCAGAGTAACCAGTCAAAGAGAAAAACCCTCATAAAATGGTCCAAAGCCTTGAACCCTTAAGGTACACATCTGACAAACTAAGACCTGCTCATTTCAAGTCATGCTCAGCACAGGCACCCGGCATCGAAGTTTCAGGGCTGACCTGAAGAGCCTCACGGGTATTCCACCAGGAGAGGAAAGGACGAAACTGCCCTTAGCCTATACAGTAAGAACAATAACCTCCAAAGAAAAAAAATTTGGATGCAGTGAAAAGGTGGCACCAGCAAAAGATACGCAACCAGGGCTTTGCTCTCTTCACAGCTCTCCAGACTATGGGCAATGTCTGCAGATAAGCAAAAATTCTAACATGGATAGGCATGGAAACTGCTGTCATTTTCTCTAGTTCTTTTTCTAAACCTTCTATCTAAATAACATGTAAAACTGAATGGTACCTTAAATGAAGCACTACACTGGCTTTTAGACGGTAGTTTACTGTTTCCTACTTACTGCCCTTTTCCCCTGCCTCCTGCCTCCTAATGCAGGACCTCCTGCATTGGTGGTGGACTATGCTGCTTTCTGCCATGTAGACACTATGTCACCACGGCAAATCAACATGAAGTCTTGTTACTGTGGGAGCGTAAATGGCTCTGAGGCAAGGGGCCAAAAGCAAAAGATCATCCAGGAGTAGCTGAAAGCTAAGAGAAGATCCAGAAAAAAAGTTTTAGTTCCAAAGATGGCAACCCTGGAAAGAAGAGATGTAAGAAAGGTCATTTCTGTCTGGATCCAGAGACAGAAACATGCTTTATATCTTGGGAAGGGCAGATTTATCGACCAACAGGTTTGGTTTGGTTCCAATAAGGAGGAAGGTTGCCCACTGCTAGGGAAGTGAGTAAAAGACTCTGGACAGATATCTCCAGGAATCATCTGGCAGCGTCTGAAGACACTAACGATTCTGCAAACTGGACTCCGAATTACAGAAACTGCCAGTCCTTCCACATTGTCACTGACTATACACTAATTTATTACACCAAATGATGTCTAATTACTGTGGAAAACATAGTAATTAAAGAGAGTTACACAGGACCCAGGGTGAAGAGGGGAAGAAGAGGAGAAAGGAGATGTTACAGTCCCAAAGCCACAGGCACAGGAGGAAACCAAGTCACTGGGTGGCACCAGTGTAGGAAGGGTACTCATTATCAGCAAAATGCTTTGCTACCAGGGGTGATATCCCCATTCCTTAAAGGGCAAAGAAAGAATTATTTATGAAAATATAACCTGGCTCATGTTGAAAGGGAGATACCCACAGAAGCAAAAAATAATTCACTGGGAAGAAAATCTGAACAGATAAATCCTTATTGTCTATTTTGTGCATTTCATGTATAATAAGGTAAATAGCATATGACTGGAGCTTCCTAAAAGCTTCATGGTATCTGGGCCAGAAAGCCATCCTGGAAGCAAATGTTCTTCCTTTCCCATTAAGTAGAAAAACTTGTGACCGACATCAGAGCACATATCTGGCACCAAGGCAACTGACTCCCACAGACTATTTTCTGGGGAGGGCATGGAATGTATTTGAAGGCCTCTATCTCAAATCAGTCATTATGTAATTAGGATAATTAAAATATCTTATTTTAACAAATTCAATGTTCCTGTAGAAACAATGCTTTGGAATGGCCAGTGTTAGCTGCTAATATCAAACATGACTACAATGATAAAGCAACAATACGTTTTTCCTACCTTTCTACCAAATGAACCACCACCACCATACATAATAAAGAACATCCTATAAGCTGCTTGGCCTCAGTAAGGCTGGTCATAGCAAGCCCACTGCCAGTGATAGAACACCAAGAAGAGAGGAAGAGCAGGAGGTAGGGAAAAGGACAGAGAGTGTTCTAAAAATACAAGACTTCAGCTATGCACACGATAATCCAAGTCAAAGGGGAGTGTTGAATACACACATTAGGGTTGGGTATAATACCACAGTAGATGGAAGTCTTTAAAAGATTCCTTCCTAAACCTCTTGTGCTAATTCCCTGCCTGGGATTAACACAAACAGCAGGTTAATCTTATAATCTCAGGACATAACATAACAGATAGACAAACACACGGCCACATTCTTAACCTAGGAAAGTCTTACATCCTCGCTTAAGGATTTACAGCACAATACCTGTCCTACTGCTTTTTGGACTGTTCCCCAGGTAGGCTGAACTACACTACTGTGTAACAAAAAGCCACACTCTCTCTAAACAGGGACCAAGGACACCTTCAAATGCATTCTCAAAACAAATAAAATAACAAAACATACTAGCTGCTCCATTTTCATTCCACTGCTTTGAAATCTTGGAACCACAGATGTGATACCCCACAGACAGGGCAAGACTTCATCGTGAAGCCTCCAAGGGAAGCTCTGCCCTCTCGGGTGCTACTTGAGTAAGAGCTCCCGGCTTATTGGTCCTCTACAGCTGCAGCAGCGAGGTGAGGCGCTAGGTGGCTACATGGGCAGGAGAAGAAATCGAAACAAATTCCCGGAGGATATTTTTGGCCATTTCAATGTTGTTGTGGGCAATGACCAAAGCTTTCTGAATGTCCTGGTAGGAGTAGCCCTGACTCATGAGGCTCTCAATCTCACTGGAGAGCTGAGGTGAGGCAGCAGCGGCGGCGGCGGCAGCGGCAGCAGCACCCCCACCCTGCTGAGAGCTACCCGCTTTTCGTTCAGAGTTGATTCTCCGAGGGAACGGTTTGGGGGGCCTCTCAGGAACTTGGGAACCCTCAGTGAAGTCTAGAAGAAATAGGAAAGAAAATATTTGCAAATCTGGGGAGAGGGGAGCCCTCATTTAATGGCAGTTAATAATTAACGACAACATCTATATGGGATCAAACTGACAACAGCAACTCGAGAGGTTAGATAGGAACCTTAGGGGGCTGTGAGTTTATGTTAATGAGGAAGGAACAACTCAGAAAAGGAGGGTGAGAATGGCTACACAGCTTGAAGAATGTAATCAATGTCACTAAATAGTACATGTAGAAACTGCTGAATTAGTGTATGTTTTGCTGTGTATATTCCCAACAACAACAAAATAAAATTAAAAAACAACAACAACAATATGCTAATATCCAGATATCATTAGTGACCTCCTATCAATTGGGTACATGTGCTCTTCGTTAAGAAGGCTGGATTTTACAGGTTCAAGGGTTTTAGTGTATAAATTCCTCTTTTTCATAGCAGGAGCAACCTTCTAAATATACCATGCACCTGTTCTACTAACAATAACCATTGCAATCATGTAACATCTGTATTTGCATCATGCTTTACACTTAGTAATCAGTGTTCACACATATTATTGCCTTGATTATTTAAAAAAATTTCTGAGGGGGCCAGACCCATACAACCTGTTGCCATCGAGTTGATTCCAACTCATAACAACTCTATAGGACAGAGTAGAACTTCCCCATAGGGTTTCCAAGGAGCAGCTGGTGGATTTGAACTGCCGACCTTTTGGTTAGCAGCTGAGCTCTTAACCACTGCGCCACTAGGGCTCCAAGGGGGCCAGAGAAGACACTAAAGGTCTTCTTTTACAAATAAGGAAACAGAGATAAGCCTAACTTGCAGTGAAGACGACTGGGTGGGTGGAGATCACCGCCTGTTTGGGCAACTGGATTCTATGTATCTTTGTTACCAGCTGTCCTGAAAGCTGTCTTAAATTTCCAAAGTGACAGCAATTCTGTATGCTGCCTTACCAGGCAGCCACAGGTGCAATAAGAGCAATCCTTGATAGTCAAGACCCAAATGCGGGCTGGCTCCAGGCCCATTCAGTGTCCTATCCAGAACCAGCATGCTTTCTTTCCAGTGGCCAGTGGCCAGAAGTCAGGAACATGTGGTCTGAACCATCAAGCTTAATAACCACTGTCATAATGCTTACTCAGAAGTGCTAGAAATCCTACCTACTCTCAGGGCAGGAGAAGCCATGGTTTAAGGAACAACCACATATCCATGTCTGGAAAAATCTGAAGAGTCTGGCTTACAGTTTAACTTCCTAATTTGGGACCTAGGACCAGCCTTCCTCCGATTTAGATACAATTTTTAGTCTACTACTTCCACCTACTGCCTTGTTGCCACTAGGGGGTCACCTCTGTTTCAGTACAAATTAGGAGCCATACAACAAGTCAGTATAAACCCAAGGTAGCCTGGAGACACTGTCACTCACTTGTTGTGGGATCACCATCCAGTGACAGCCAGCCAAAGGCGGTGCTGGCATTAGAGATATCTGAGAGAGTTCGGCGGGCCAGCACCGCTGGCACAGGTGGCTTAGGGACATCATACCCACCATCCTCATTTTCTGATTCCTCAGGTCCCGTGCTGGCATGGGCTGCAGCCAAATTCCCCTCACCTAGAGAAAAGTTTGTGAGGTTATTCCTCAACTTCATCTTCCAACACATTTCAATATAGAGACATCCATTCATTCATGCATGTATAGAGTCATGTTTTCCATGCAACAGTTACCAAATGTCTACTATGGGCCAAAACCATATGAAGCCTGTGGGTAGAGATAAAAGACAGAGAGAAAACAAAATCTGCACCAATCCTGCAGCTCTTTTTCTTGAGCATGTCAAAGGCTATCCTTCCCAAGGATAACAGCCATTGAAGCCAAAGATCAAGCGTCATTTTATAGCACTCAATTCAACACTTCTACTTGCTTTTCACCTCGGAAGATCAGCCAAAGGGCCCTGCGTGTGCTGGCTTCTTGAACTTTCAACTTGGGTAAGCTAGTTAACATGGGAATTCACCACCCACACACAAAAGAATTTCATCAATGCTAAAAAGCAATGGGAATAAAAAGGAACTGCTAATAGTGCAGGTCCAGGCCACATAACACAAATGTCTCCAGGCCCTGGAAGGAAGAAAACGCACAAAAGGAACTAGCTGTGTGAACAGGAAATAAAAGAGTGGAGAGGGTTTTACCAAAGAAAATGATTAAAAAGAATTTTCCACTTTCATTAACCAAATATTTCAGGCTCATTCATACTTCACACCAACTATTTTTCAAAGTAGTGGAATGGTTACTCACCAAAGGTACTGCTCTCTGTGACAGATGTTGCCTGGGGCTGAATATTATACATTGCTTCATATGTACAGTTATCAATCTGCTGGTCACATTCACTCACTCTAAATAGGAAGGAAAGGGGCATAATGATCTTCAGAAATAAAACTCTATTATCTGCCAACTAAAGATAAGACTAATTTACTCACAAACACTCTAGACCCTGATTCCATCGTGATAACGTACTCTTCTTCTGCCAGACTCACTAATAAATGTCATAAGGTTGACTCTTGGAGGAGTAACAGATGTGTGTGTTTTTGAGGTTACTGCGATGTTGTGAAAACATAAATGGCATTGTTTACATCTAAAAGAGGCTTAAACATTAGGGGTTAGACAGAGCTTTTTTTTTTTTTTTTTAGATGGAGCTTTTTGAGGACAAAAATAAAAACGACAAACACACAGGGAGAAATAAAATCACTTCTGGGGGTGCCCGCACACAGTGTGAAAGTAGCAAGCCGAGCAGTGAGGGATGTCAGTTAATCACCCACATAAAGGTGGTTGGTTCAAAACAGGATTGTTGTGAACCTACCGTGAACTCTGGGCTGTCTCCAAAGGCCTAGAGGAGGGAGTCATATACTCTGTGTCCTCCTCATTCTCGTACTGCTCCCCAGGGGGCAGCTTTGGCACTGGAAGAGGTCTTGAAGATGAAGAATAAAAAAATAGAAAAAGGAAGCATGTTTAAAAAGAATTAACAAGCTGGAAAACTTTCAAGTATGAAACAAGTGGCTTCGAAACAGACCACAACTCAAATTTGGTATTTGACATAGCAAAATATGTGCCACCTAGGGAGCCATTATTTCTATTGACTAAGGTAGGTGATTAGAAAAAAAGCACTAACTGAGAACTTTCACCTCATCTTTAGCTGACCAGAGGTGCAATTATCGGGCTTAAGATGTGTTACTCTGGGATAGGTACTTGAGTCTCAATCCCAAAATAAATTTCATTATAGAGTCTCAGCCTTAGAGCTAGCTTCCCAGTTTTTCTTTCATTAGGTTCGAAATAAGAAACATCAGGTGGCTTTCCAACAATATTGCTAGTAACGTATGCCAATTCTAAAATCCACCTATGATTTCAAAAAATATACAGCTTGTCAAAAGCTTTCTCATATACTATCTCACAGCATAAACACTATCTCTCTTCATTTTATACATGAAAAATCTGATACAGAAAGATAAAGTGACTTGGTAGTTAGCATCTATTCTGAGACTAGATCCCTGATCTTCTGACTAGTTCTTTGGGGACCTTGCTGTTATACCCATACATACTCTCTCCCAGAAGTTTCTGAAACAAAACTTCTCCTGCTATCCCATACCCTGAAACTAGACAAAGTCTAGTTTGAATGTGGAAAATAATAATAAAAACACACATACACACAGAAACAAAATAGCTTCTGAGCATGTGAACTTATGAGTGTTTCTCCTACATTCCTCATAGCTCTCTATCTATCTATATATATATACTGTACATACTAAATACACTACCAGGAGCACCTACTGCATTTATTTTTCTGTCTGCACTGCAAATGTACACTTAAGATTTGTGCATTTCAATGTACGTAACTATTACATAAAAATAAAAAAACTGAAACAAATATTGAACTTTACTTAATGACATGCATGCTGAAGGTGGAAGGGTACTAGTATCTAAAATTTGCTTTGAAATGAGTCAAAAAAGTTAGACGGGTGGGAAGAAGTATAAGTAGATGGATGTGTAATAAAACAAGTATAATGAAATGTACTTTAATAGTAGAATCCAGGTGGTGAGTACATGGGTATTCACGTATAATTCTTTCAACTTCACGTTTGAAATTTTTTTTTTATCGTGCTTTAAGTAATAGTTTACAGAGCAAATTAGTTTCTCATTAAACAACTGTCTTAGTCATCTACTGCTGCTATAACAGAAACACCACAAGTGGATGGCTTTACCAAAGAGAAGTTTATTGTCTCACAGTCCAGTAGGCTAAAAGTCCGAATTCAGAGCACTGGCTCCAGCAGAAAGCTTTCTCTCTCTGTCGGCTCTGGAGGAAGGTCCTTGTGATGCATTAGTCTTCCCTTGGTCTGGGAGCATCTCAGTGCAGGAACCTCAGGTCCAAAGGAGGTGCTCTGTTCCCAGCACTGCTTTCTTGGTCGTTGAGGTCCCCATGTCCCTCTGCTTGCCTCTCTCTTTTGTATCTCAAAAAAGGTTGGCTTAAGGCACTATCCAATCTTGTAGAGCTCATCAATATAACTGCCACTAATCCTTCTCATTACATCATAGTGATAGGATTTACAACACAGAGGGAAATCACAGCACATGACAAAATGGTAGACAAATCATACAATACTGAGAATTATGACCTAACCAAGCTGACACATATTTTTGGGAGACAATTCAATCCATGACAACAATTAATACGCAAATTGTTTTGTGACACTGGTTGTCAACGCCATGATGTGTTAACACTCTCCCTTTCTCGACCCCAGATTCCCATTTCTATTTGTCCAGTTTTCCTGTCCCTTCCTGCCTTCTCGTCTTTGCTTTTGGGTTGGTGTGCACATTTCGTCGCGTGTTATTGTTTGTTGTGTAGGCCTGTCTAATCTTTGGGTAAAAGGTGAACTTCAGGAATGACATGAGTACTGACTTTGGTACTGAGTTAAAAGGTGTCTGGGGGCCATTCTCTTGGGGTTTCTCCAGTCTCTGTTAGACCAGTAAGTCTGGTTTTTTTTTTTTGAGTTTGAAAATTTTGTCCTACATTTTTCTCCTGCTCTGTCCAGGACCCTCTATTGTGATCCCTGTCAGAGTGGTCAGTGCTGGGCACCATATAGTTCTGGACTCAGTCTGGTGGAGGCTGTGGTAGTTGTGGTCCATTACTAATTTGGACTAATCTTTCCCTTGTGTCTTTGGTTTCCTTCCTTCTCCCTTGCTCCAGACGGGGTGAGAACAGTAGATGTATCTTAGATGGCTGCTCACAAGCTTTTAAGACCCTAGACACTACTCACCAAAGCAGGATGTAGAACATTTTCTTTATAAACTAGGGTCACTGTGAGTCAGAAACAACTTGGACAGCAACAGTTTTTTTTTTTTTAATGCTAATTGAGCTAGATGTCCCCCAACACCATAGTTCCCAGCCCCCAGACCAGTAACTAGGTCTCCTCAGGATGTAGGTGTGTCTGTGAAGCTTCTATGACTTTGCCTTGGTCAAGTTGTGCTGACTTCACCAGTATTGTGTACCGTATTTGTTCTTTTGTGATTAACTTATTTCATTCAGCATAATGCCGTCCAGATTCATCCATGCTGTGAGATGTTTTGCAGATTCATCATTGTTCTTTATTTATGGTTGTGAAGTGTTCTATTGTGTGTATATACCATATTTGGTTTATCCATTCATCTGTTCATGGACACTTAAGTTGTTTCCATCTTTTTGCTATTGTGAATAATGCTGCCATGAACATGGGTATGCATATGTATATTCGTGTGACAGCTCTCATTTCTCTAGGATAAATTCCTAGGAGTGGGATTGCTGGATCATATGGTTGTACCATTTTGCATTCCCACCATCAGTACGTAAGATTTCCAATCTCCCTGCAGCCTCTGTAACATCTGTGATTTTCTGTTTTTTTGATTAGTGCCAGTAATGTTGGAGTGAGATGGTATCTCATTGTAGTTTTGATTTACAGGGCATTTCCTCATGTGTCTGTTAGCCACCTGAATGTTTTCTTTGGTGAAATATCTGTTCATATCCTTTGCCCATTTTTAAATGGGATTATCTGTCTTTTTGTTGTAGAGGTGTAGGGTTTTCTTATAGATTTTTAGAAATTAGATCTTTGTTGGATATGTCATAGCTAAAAATTTCTCCCAGTCTGTAGGTTCTCTTTTTACCCTTTCGGTGAAGTCTTTTGATGAGCATGTTTTATTTTTAGGAGATCCCAGTTATGTAGTTTATCTTCTGGTGTTTGTGTATTGTTAGTTATGATTTGTAACCTATTTATGCTGTATATTAGGGACCCTAGTGTTGATCCTATTTTTCCCCCATGATCTTTATAATTTTTGGCTTTATATTTAGGTCTTTGATCCATTTTGAATTAGTTTTTTTATGTATGATGTGAGGTATCGGTCCTGTTTCATTTTTTTACATATGGACATTCAGTATTGCCACCACCATTTGTTAAAAAGACTGTCTTTTCCACATTTAATGGACTTTGAGCCTTTGTCAAAGATCAGGTAACTGTAGGTAGATGGATTTACATCTGGGTTTTTGATTCTGTTCCATTGGTCAATGTGTCATTGTACCGGTTGCTGTTTTGACTCCTGTAGCTATATAATAGGTTCTGAAGTAAGACAGTGCCAGTCCTCCTACTTTGTTCTTCTTCAATAATGCTTTACTTCTCCAAGGCTCTTTCCTTTCCACATAAAGTTAATGAATAGTTTTTCCATCTCATTTAAGAATGCTGTTGGTATTTGTATCAGGATTGCATCGTATTTGTAAATTGGTTTGGGTAGAACTGACATTTTCACAACGTTGAGTCTACCTAACCATGAGCATGGTATGTTTTTCCTTTTATGTAGGTCTCTTGGTTTCTTGCAGTAGTGCTTTGTAGTTTTCTTTGTATAGGTCTTTTATGTCCTCTTAGACTTATTCCTAAGTATTTTATTTTTTAACGGCTATTATAAATGGTATTACTTTCCTGATTTCCCTTTTGTAGTTCTCTTTATTGGTGTATAGGAATCAAACTGATTTTTGTATGTTTATCCTGTATCCTGCTACTCTGCTGAATCTATTAGTTCCAGCAGTTTTCTTGTGGAGTCTTTAGGGTTCTCTATGTATAGTACATCATCTGCAAATAGGAATAGTTTACTTCTTCCTTACCAATTTGTATGCCATTTCTTTTTCTTGCCTTACTGCTCTAGCTAGGACTGCCAACACAACATTAAGTGGTGATAAAGGGCATCCTTGTCTTGTTCCTGACCTCAGGGGGAATGTTTCCAGCCTCTCTCTGTTGAGAATGATGTTGGCTGTTGGTTTTGTATAGATGCCCTTTATTATGCTGAGGAATTTCCCTTCTATTCCTATTTTATTGAGAGTTTTTATCAGGAATGTGTGTTGGACTTTATCAAATGCCTTTTCTGTGTCAACTGAGATGATCGTGTGATTCTTTTTATTTATGTGGTGGATTATGTTGATTGATTTTCTAATGTTGAACCATCCTTGCATACCTGGTACAAATTCCACTTGGTCATGGTTTTTTGTTTTTTTACTATGATGCTGAATTCTATTGGCTAGAATTTTGTTGAGAATTTTTGCGTCTGTATTCATGAGAGATATTGATTAGCAATGTTCTTTTTTTTGTGGTGTCTTTGCCTAGTTTTGGTATCAGGGTTACGCTGTCTTCATAGAATGAATTTGGAAGTATGCCTTCCTTTACTATGTTCAGAAATAGTTTTATGAGTAGTACTGATGTGAGCTCTTCTCTGAACGTTTGGTAGAATTCTCCAGTGAAGCCATTTGGTCCAGGACTTTTTTTGTTGTTGTTGGGAGTTTCTTTTAAAATTTATTTCCTTTTCAATCTCTTCTTTTTTTATGGGTATGTTCAGATTTTCTACCCAGTTTGTTTAGGTAGGTAGTGTGATTCTAGAAATTTGTCCGTTTCCTCTAGGTTT